TGGCAGCAATAGTCATTCCTGTTAGGTATATATCCTTTCATATTAATTTACAAAGCAGTTGCACAATGTTTAATTTAATAGTAAATGTGACTGAAAGTCAGTTAAGAAAACATTTATAAATTTCCTATACTAAGAAAAGGCACAAAAAGCCTTTTAAGAAATGCTATTGATTATTGATATGATATAATTTCTTTCCAAGCTTAGTAGGCAAAGAGGGTGAACTGGTTATTTATTACTGTTTTAAAATCTATGTCATTCATATTCATTCACAGAAACCTACTGATTAAGCAAACCTTATCTAAGACAACACCTATGCATTGTGTGTAGTTTTGATTTTTCACAAATTTCCTTCAAGAAGGATAGTACAGGCCACTCAATCTAGTATCAAGGACAGTATTTCAACTAATGTTCACTTGCATGGTAGGTACCCTTAGTCACGGTCACTGTCATCACCCCCATACATATCGGCAAGTTTTTTAAACCGGGGACCCCAGTCACTAAGGTAGTTGTAATCCTGGTTACAATCAGCTGTGATAGATTCTAAAGAACTGAGCGAATCTGCCACAGAATCATTCCCTTCATAGGCGTAAGTTGCCAGGGAGTCATAAGGAGGTGCACTTGGATCTGAGTCGTTTTCTTTTAATCTACGGTGGATAAAATCTTGTACATCAATATTTTCCCACAGGGGCACAGTCCTCCTTATCTGAAAAATAGTTTCAGGCATGACGTCTCGTCTAAGTTTACTGTCTTCTCTTGCTTCTGGGTTCCTTAATGTGCCAATATCGAAAGCTTGGGTGTCTTCCTCTCCACCACCTTCATCATTATAGGTCACAATATTATCCCGCACATCATCCTTTGAAATTATCAGAGGCTCCTTTTTCCGTTGTCTCTTCAATGCAGCGAACAGCACGACTAGAACTTTTGATGAACGATAATGAAATAATTAAATTCCATAATTAAAAACAAAATGTAAATTATTATATGTGGAGTTTATATATTTGACTGGATAAATTGAATAACTGCCCTCAATGAAAACAGGCAGAAATGGGACAAAACACTGCATTGTTTAAAAAACAAAACACATTAAAGTTTTGTTAATTTATGTTTCAAATTCTATTGGCCTCTGGCGTTAAAAAATCATCCTTATGATACAATTATTGCACCAAGTCACATGCAATTAACTGGAATATCATTCTTACTAAATCTATTTTACCTCAAATTTAAAAAAATGTTATCACTAGACAAATTAGACAAATCTAAGTTTATGTATGTAAATAATCCCCATATAGTTGTATACAAAATACATTGATTTTATGTATGTATGCATGGATTGTTTCATTTTATTAAATACTCAGCATATAATTAACCAAATTCATTTGCTGGTCTGGTTATGAAATCCTCCTGGAAAATCTGAAATGCAACTCCAAAATCTAAAAATAATGTTCACACTACACCTAACCTTTCACTTACACTTATAAGGCAATTAAGATAGCATCTTGCAATTGAGGTCATTCATGATTTTCATATTTGCCTTCAAATTTTGGAACTAAAATTTTACTTCATTTTATTTACATATTGTATTCTATTTTATTATTTGAATAGTTTTTCGATAAATACAATAAATATCTTGTATACAGGGTGCTCTGTTTTTTCTTTTTAAAAAATATTTTATTTATTATTATTTTTTATGTGTATGAATGTATTGCCTGCATGTACATAGGTACATCCATGATGTGCAATGCCCATGGAGGTCAGAAGAGGGAGTCAGACTGCCTGGAACTGAAACTACAGACAGTTTTCAGCTGCAGTATGGGTGCTGGGACTCAAACCACTGTCTTCTCCAAGTGCAGTCAGTGCCTTTAACCACTGAACCATCTCTCCAGCCTCCTGAGGTGTTCTAAATTTTTCTTATTATAGAAGTGGGGTTGCATTTTATACGTATATTTGACAACTTCTTTTTCCTAATTCTCATGTGATATGCATTTTTGTGAAAGTCTGCACATTTGTTCCTGTGTGTATGTGTTTGTTCTGTATGCAGGTATGTGTGTACATGTGTGTCCTGGGTTTGTCTTCTTCAGTGGCTTTCTACAATATGTTTTGAGTCTTGGTCTCTCACTGAACCTGGAGCTCATCCAATAGACTGAATGATCACCATGCTTCAGAGACCCATCTGTCCCCCTCCCGAACACTGCCCAGCACAACACTGAGGATGAAGACATGCACAGATAGGACCAGCTTTTTACCTGCATGCTAAGGATCTGAACTCATCCCTCAATTTTCTGTGGCAAGCATTTAACATGCTGGGATATCTATGCAACTCCAAAAAAATGCATTTTTATAAAGTTTTAAAAAAAATCTCCATTTTTTCTAATAATTACGAATTTTCTGTTGAAAAATCAATCATTTTAAATTTTATACACAAAAATAAGAATTATACAAGAAAATTCCCGCCAAACAAATTTGAGCTTTACATGAGTGAAAATAAAATTGCATTTCATTTATTTTAGGAAGTCAGATGGCTTGCCAAAATTATTTATGAGCCAGGCATGATTAGTATCTCTTTAATCCCAGAATTGTGGATGATCAATTAGGAAGACTCCAAAGTCCTGCCTGGGCTACAGAAGGAGATCTTGTCTCAAATGATAAAACAGTGGGGGGAAAAAAAAAGGTACATAGCATGCTTCAGTGAAAATTAAATTTGCTATTGATTTACTGAATTTTCATTTCATTGTATTCTGTTATTTGTAGTGTTGGACTTTGCATATGCTAGGAGTGCCTGTTAAAGCTGAGCCGCATCCCCAAGTCCATTGCTAATTTTTATAGAAATTATAAAAGGTAAATTTATTTAAACTAAGACAGCATTTCAATATGTTCACTAATGATGCTATAACTGTTCATTAGTAGTTTTGTATCAGAGAACACACTCTCCTTAGCCCTTCACAATTCGTACTAAGAAGTCTTAAGGAATCACTGAGAGGGGAGCTGGAGATTTGAGCTAAGTATATTTTTTTGTTCTTGAAGAGGAGGCAAGTTTGGTTCCCAGAACCAACATGGCAGTTGAAAACCACATGAAACTCCAGATCCAGGGGAACCAACATCCTCTTCTGGTTTGGTTATGCACTTGTATACACATGGTGCACATAAACTAATTCAGAACATCACAAATGCAAAATTAAAAAACAACTAAATCTAAAAATAAAGAAAAAGATTCATTAGACACATTTTCAGGAATGCTACGAAAAGAGTTTTGGGTATTGCTCAATATTCAGGTTCATCTGGAAGATATGAAAAATAAATAAAACATGATTGTTAAAAATACATAAATTGAGTTTTTCCTGTGAAAGACTGGGTAGAAACTGAAGACTGAAATGGAGATAGCTTTTATGGAGCATAAGCAATACATTAAAAGTGGAGTTATTTCACAATTTGAAATTGAATGAATACATTTTTACTTGGCACTTTTTAAATTTTTTATTTATTTTATTTTATTTATTATTTTTATTTTATCTGTATGAGTATATTGCCTGCAATGTAGGTAAGTGCACCCACATTGTGCAATACCCACGGAGCACAGGAGAGGCCATTGGATCCCCTGGAACTGGAGTTACCTACAGTTGTTAGCTGCCATGTGGGTTCTGGGATTCGAACTGGGGCCTTCTGCAAGAACAACTAGTGTTTTTAACTGCTGAGCCATATTTCCAGCCCTTGAACATTTTTAAAGTAGTACCTATATAAATAGGATAATAAGTTTTAATTAGGTATGAGTATTTTATAATTCTCAAAATGGATCTTTGAGACACAGTTGCAGTTTGTCTCTCTTTTCTGCAAGGTCAGTTTATGATCTTCATTAACAGATACAACAAAACAAATTCTGTGTTTGGTAACAGAATTCAGGCTATTATATGAGGAACAGTGCATCTATATTTTCACTAATTTGTAACTGGAATTTGGTATTTTTCCTAGTGTGGATATCATATCCATGATGGCAGCAGAAGTTTGTGTGACTACTGAAGCAAAATTAATTGCAGAGCCCTGTATAGTCTTGCAATTTTGTCAAACATTTTTGAAACTCATTAAACTTGCACTACAATATGGCATGTGTGGCTTAATAACCAAACACATTTGTATATTTCTTTAATTTAGTTAGATATGTCCTTTTATATTATGTACTTTATTTCTGAAATTTTGTATTACTTATTTGTTTGTTTTGCATAGTTTCTGGAGTCAAACCCAGGGCTTTAAGTATTCTAGGTGAATACTTTTTCCCTGAACTACACTCCTGATCTTCTCATAAATTTAGAATATTATTCTAACTACATCCAAAAAAGTCATCATATTTCCAGAGGAGTCTCTGCAATCAGTATTTAAAAAGTTATATGCTGTATTTTAGTTCCTCACTTTGTATGATAATGTAAACATATTTGTATGATAATGTAAAATTAAGAACTGTATTTCTCCAAAAGTTATCAGAGTGTCTACATAGTATGATCTTACAGTATATAGAGTCCAGCACTGTCTTCAAAAAATTTAACTCTCTGGACAATAAACATCTAATAATCTTGTCATAAAATTACTACATAGAATTAAATGACAATAGAATGTTAAGTAATTTCAGAAAAAAAATTTGATAAAATAATTTTAACTAAAACAATGTAATAATCAATCCACATTTGAAAAAGGAAACTATAAATATTTGTTTCTTCTCTATTATTCAATAGGAATGCTGATTTTTTTGCTAATAGAATTATAAACTTCCCAAGATGTGTTACTAGATCAAAGCATTGCCAAATATCTCCTGATAATTGGGAGAATTCTTTATTCAATTTAATAGATGCACTGATGTCTTTATGTATTACCTTAACATAGAAATTTAAATATATAAACTCACCTTAGTATATATCTTTGTAAGACTTTCTGATATAATACAAATAAAATTAAATCCCAATCTTACTTTCCATAGGGGTTAAAATTATCCTGTATAGGAGCTCAATTTTCTGGCAGCAGGTAGAGGTGGGAACTGCTCCTGGTGATAAAAACCGTGCCTTATATTCTAAACCACTGTCATAATTTTTTTTCTAAATAGGTGGATATTCATGACTGAAACAAATGTTTCCTCTTCACTGTTGTCAACCCCCCAGTGAAGTCTTATGAGGACATCCGGCCAAAGGGATTTCATCCAGAGTGCTTGACGCGATTTTCAGTGAAAGGAAGCCAGCACATATGAACATGAGAACATTAACTTGGCTAGCTCTTCTGCCCTAGGCATGGGAATCTTGGATGAGTATTTGATAGAAATAATTTTGGAGTGTTTTACAGTGAAACAACTGTTTAATTGAATTAAATCTTTGCCCTGTTAGTGTGTGCATGTGCTCAAATACAATGTGTGCTATTGGAAGCTTGACATTATTTGTGAAATATTGATGGCTGCTATAACTATCATGTTGCAATGAACTGTTAAAAAGTGAGTTTTATGTTTTCAATTTGTGTCATGTAAGTTTTGTGTCTTATAACAAGTTCATTGTGGAAAGTATCTTGTCATGGTTCCTTTAATGTGAGTGAACTATATTATATACTTTACATTGCTAGCAGTAATATTTTATAGGTGAATTACTCTTAATTTTTAGAATAATGGGAAAAAAACTGAAAGATAGAAAAATCTGTGTTAGAATGCTAATAAGTACGTTTTTGAAAGTGTGGTATTTGGGAGCTGGGTAGGCGCCTCAGTGGGTAATGAACTTGCTTCAGAAGAATGAAGACATTAGTCAGATCCTTGGCAGTCATGTAAGACTGGATATGGCACAATGATGTCCCCCCAGCTATGGGAGGTGGAGACAGGAAGGATCTCATGGGCCAGCTAGTCTAGTAAATGAGTGAACTACAGGTTAGATGAAAGGTTCTGTCTCGATAATTACAGTGGAGAACAACAGAGAAAGGCACCTGCTGCTGATCCTTGGCCTCCACATATGTATGTTTAGGCATGTGCAACTCACATACATACACGTGCACACTTCCAAACACACAAATGAGGAAAGAGTTGTATTTGCCATATTAGTTAGTTATCTTGTAGGACAAAATTATAGATTCCCTAGAACAGCGGTCATGCCTATTCATGATAACATCATGCTATGAAATCAGTGTCGTGCTTGTTATTATGGCTTTGCTTTTTCTCTTTAGGCCAGAAAAGGAATATTTTTGTCTTGTTGTTAGTAATTATAGCAAAAAAAAGTCAAATGTTTGGTATTTCACGCACAATGTGCAATGAATAGGGTTTTTGAGGAGAAGAGCTTGGGAGAGGCATAGCTTACTAAGCAGGATGAGGACACAGAGCAGAATCGCTACCAGTGCGCCTGTGCTCAGGCCAGCTGAGAGCCTCAAGGCTTCTGCGTTGCAGGACTGCATATTTCCTTGTTTATCACATGCACACACTCGGATCGTGAGTGTGCCAGTGCTGCTTTGAATAGGATAATCATTGTCAAAGATTAAAATTGGCAGTAGGTATGTACTCATTTTGGTTCGGCTGTACCCATCTTTTCGAGTCATGATTCCTGCTGTATTATCTGAAGAGGAAAAATAAAATGTTAGGATAAATTCGTTCAGTAATTTTATTTCACCGTCCTTGTAGTCTCCCTCTCTCCTTTCTTGCTTTCCCCAGTTTTGTTCCCCTCCCTCTCTCTCTCCCTCCTTCCCTCCTTCCCTCCTTTCCTCCTTCCCTCTCTCTCAACTTCCCTCCATCCCTTCCTTCCTTTCTTTATTTTGTTTATTGAGATATAGTCTCTTGTAGCCTAGGTGGCCTCAAACTCTCTACATAGTGGAAGATGACCTCGAGTTCCTGATTCACCTGTCACTACCTCTTCAGTGCTGGGATTAAAGAGGGTAGCAGAACACCCTCCTTTGCATTCAGTGTCAAGTCTGAATCTTCATATGCTTCATAGCTTTCTATTTTTACCTTTATTGTCTACAATGGTAAAGTTTGGATTGAGAGGAAATTCAGGCACTGGCTCAAAGAAGAACTTGTGGCCTCGGGGAGGATCATCTTTGTCCATTACACTGATGGTCTGAATCAGCTAAAAACAAAACACATTCATTAATTTCTACAGAAAAAAATACTTTGTTATTACAAGATCATTTTAAATAGGTGTGTTTACACTTTGACTGTATCAATAAATGTTTAAATTTTGATTTTTTGCCAAATATATTGTGTTTATGCATTTATCATTTTTTATCTAAAACAATTAATAATGAAAATATCCCCTCATTATCAACTTACAAGGCATCTCAATAATCATTCTTTGCATCCTTGTGACTAAAGCATCCCACTTTAAGGAAAATTTGATTACTTCCATAAATATTCTAATTTCTTGCTAATTTAGCTGTTTTATTAACATTTGGTTATGAATTGTTTCCCTATTAGAGAATCATTTTCTAAAGGAAAAAGAATAAAGTATATCTTTCAAAAGATAAAAATGTTTAACAGATGCATACACTATGATTGTACTGATATATTTTTCTCCAAATGGTTGGAACATCAATTCATAAAGAAAACTTTAAAGAACAGGGATAGGATAGTAATTATGATGCATATTTCACCAAATGCTTACTTTTGATTTAATAGTATTTTCAAAGAAAAATATAGAAATGCACCTCAGGTGTGTAAAGCCAGTGTTTAACTTGCAAGTTCATAATACAGCTTAGATCTCAGGCTAAATAAAAAAGGGCCATAATAGAAGATGGAGCATCAGAAGGCAGGTAGAGCTGAACCCATTTCAAGAAGCATTGTTTAGGAAAAACCACTCAGCTGCATAACAGTGTGCCTGTTTCTTTAGTTCTGAGACGACCATCTGTGAGCTTTGAAACAGCAGTCGTTTAATTCCCCTTACTTTGAATTTTTTTATAGAAAAATAAAGTTTAACAAATTCCAGGTGCAGGAGTGTAGCATTCTGTGCAGAATGCTTATTGGAACTTTATAGTAGTTTAATTTGTCATTTTTTCTGTTATTCTGTACCATGTACAGCTATGCAAACCCGGTAAGATACTTTCCCATTTTGAATTGATATGTACAATAATTTCATTCATTTCATTGAAAGAGTGGCATGTGACCTAATTTTTTTAATGCAGTACTATGAGAAAGTACAAAATTTAAAGAAAAACTTGATTAATATTTCCTCTTCAGAAAATTGAAGTACAACACAATAAATATACCATAATATCTAGTGTTCTTGCTGAGCTTCCTGATCCTTACCAGGAATAAGAAATGTGAGTTTTCATTACCTAGATTCTAAACACAGGCATTTAGTTTTCCTGATGCATGTCCTTGATTGATCACATGGGCCTGACTGAAACATGTTTTGAGAGTCCATATCAGTGTTTGAAAATAAATTGGTAGCATTGTTGATATTGATAATGGCCAATAGTGAATATTTATTACTTTAAAAATAATAATTATAATTCAAAAATATTAAATATAATAGAATACATACACATCCATATATAAATGAATAAAGGGTGTATTTAGGCTATTATAGGTTGACTTGTAGTACCAAAAACGATGTGTTCATGCCCCTAAACATAGTAACATTTTTAGAAACAGTCTCTTCCCAAAGTTACCTAGTGGAAATGCAGTTATACTGGATGCTGGAGTGCTCTTTTTTTCCCTTTAAAAGAGACACATTTGGACACAGAAAGAGAAATATAAATACAATGATGGATAGTGTGGGTAAAATAATTAGGGTCCACATTCTAAACAGAATGTCAAGGGCTTGCTGGGGTCCCCAAGAAGTTTCGAGATATCAAATAAGTCTCCTCAGAGTCTTCAGAGAATTACAGAGTTGCTGACACACTTCCATGGACTTCTCATCTCCAGAAAGGTGAGAGAAAAAACTTGTGTTTTAAGTCATCTAATGTACAGTAATTTTACATTTCAACAACCCAAAAATATGACTAACCCCAAATTTAAGAAAAAAATATACTAAAATATTATGAAATATTTAGAGGTTGGAGGAAATTTACAACTTTATCTTGCCCAAATAAATAGGTAATCACACAAGATTTACAGGAGAAATATTAATTATGTGATCTATTTTGAAATTATTTGGTAAAAATCTCTTGATATGAATATACACATAGGTATGTGCATCAAAACACATACACATGAATCCCATCCTCAACCTCCCATGTATACAACAGGCAACAAAGAGCATCAAATAAAAAATACTTTAAAGACTTTTGGAAATATCCATTATAGTGTGAAAAATGGAAAATATAAATTGAAAAATTCCATGTTATGGTACTATGTAGGTAAGAATAATAACTTTTAAAAAAATATGGAACATTTTGTATACTTGTTGAAACATTTGCCAGTGTGTTGCCAAGGTTTGATTAAAATGCCTGATCCTTCTGCCTCTGCTTAACTATAACTCTATATGAGAGCTCTACAACATATATTCTAAACTTTTCATTATCCTATAGGCATATTAAAATATTTTTGAAAGATCATTGTGAGTTCCTTAGTAGAGGGATATAAAATAATATAATTGCAATATGGAAAACTCTACGCAAAGCAGTGACTTTTGCCTTGTAAAAATTAAATGTTTGTAAAATTCACAATAATTGTATTTACCTGTCCAGATTTTGCATTTTCACAAACAAATGTTTCATAGTACATGGCAAATTCCGGAGCGTGATCATTTATATCAAGAATTCTGATGAACACAGGAATTTGGCTACTTTGTTTTGGATTATCTGCAACAAGAACAAGTATAAGTTTGCTATGTATTTGCAGACCAGTGGTAAAACCACCATCAGCATTTGTAGTGGGTCAGCTGATAAGTTCTGTGGTACTCCCTTACTATTTGGGTAAGTGATGAATAGCTTAACCTTCTTACATGAGCCAAAAGGAAACCACAATAATAAAAGGGAAATATGAATGAAAGGATAAAGAATTATTTAAAATAGACAATGTCTGTGGACATGTATGATTTTTATGGGGTTAGGTCACAATTCAAATTTATTACTACTTAAATAAGAACATCAAAACTCTTTTTAAATCAATTATATGATAGCATTTAAATAATCATTAACATAATTTTAAAAATCTCAACATTCTCTAATTAATTTTTCTCACATCTCACTAATATTGCAATAATTTCACCGTAGTCCATTTAGAACCACAAATTTATCAACCTGGTAAAAACATAATATGATCAGATGGGTACGCCTACAACTTACTTATCTCTGTGGCCGTAATGGTGATGTTGTGCCATGGGGATGATTCCCGGTCCAATGACTTCAGAGTGAAAATAGAGCCATTTTCTGCATGGACACTGAAAACACGGTCCATATCAGTATGCCGGTCGATAGAGTATCTAACAGGAAAGAGATTTGTAAATTCAGACATTTTCGAAGATTGTTATTTCTTTCATTATTTCATTCTATTCTTAAATTTTTTATTGAATTTTTGTGTATTTCATGGAGAACATCTAAATCAATTAATTATCATTTGTATCCCCATCCTCACTGACACCTTGCCACAGCCCCACTTCTGGAATTCATACATTCTGTCAGCCTATTGTCATTTATTATTTCTTAAAACTAGAAGGAATTCTCACATTGATATGACAATGTAAAATGACACTAACTCCTGAATTTCTAACAAAGAATTATTATAAAAATGATTTGATACTTTGGCTGCTTCCAATATTACAGTCAAATTTATTTGCGTGTTTTGGAGCCATCATTTATACTCAAGATTCCTTGAGGAAACTTTGAAGTATGTGTTTAGGTATTCCGTGATTGACTCATTCTATTACAGGCTGATACTAAACTAGAGTTATAATAAATAATGTTGTGACACTTGATAGTCAATATCGATGAATAAATTTAAATTAAGGAAAGCAATGCATACCCATGTGTTCACAAAATATATGTGAATACACAGGAAGCTATTGTAAAATGCACTGCCCTTGAATGGCATTTTATTTAGAAACATTTCAGCTCAATCTAAGTTCATACTACAATTATGTGTCCAACGAATTCCAAATAAAAGTGGAATACTATATCACCACAGAGTTCTGTAATTTTCTCATCAATAATGGTAAAAAGCTTAGTGTCAGTCTGTGGTTGAAAAAATTAACACCTCATCTTTAGAGTTTTATCTTCTAACCCTAAGAACCTCTGAATATGTTATTTTATACAAGAAAAGTAGCTTTGCATGTGTTCTCAAGTTGAAAACACTGATATAGAACAGTAGATTTCATTGTGGAGATCTGTCAAAAGTAATCACACCAGCCCTTCTAAGTGGAATGAGAAGGAAGGTAGAAAACTGGTTTAGGTAGACAAGAAAGAAGGAGAAAAGGAGGGGGGGATGTGAAGAATGAAAAGCAAGCTACTCATTGTTGCTAACTTTGAAGATCTGTGCAAACTTGAAGGACTGTAGGCACTCCTAGAAACTGAGAGCATCCTTGGATTGACAGTCCCCAAGGACACAAAGACGGTGCCTCCACAACTGCAAGGAGTTCTGATCTGCCAGGAACTTGAACGAGCAAGAGTCATGTAGCCTCATGTCAGCCTGCTTTTCTAAGTAATTCAGACTTTCCTGAAAACGGTTTCTATTTCTTTTTTTTTTTCCCCTTTTAAAGTGTATTTTTCCTAGCACTGGGCTTCACTCTTATTCAGAAGATTCCCGCCCACCATGTCCTGAGTGTCCTCCAAATGGCTGGCCTTCAGGCAAGCTTGGTAACTACTATTGCCTGCTAAGAATCATACTAAACTTTGAGTGAATTGTAAAACAAGAAATTTGGGTTGAATTACACTACTACTTTTATGATGTTATGTATATTATATATTCTCTATGTGTATCATTAATGTATATATTATCATTTCCATCTGAAATTTCAGTTCTTGAATTATATGGAGTTATTCCCAAACATTGCCATTCATATGAAACACCTGTGCATCTCTTTAAAAACAGGAGGTGATGGGCTGGTTGTATAACTCAGTGGCTCAGTGTTGGATTGGCATGCACAAAACCTCAGCACTACAGACAGTAGCTAGAACCAGTCAAGATTTTTAGCAAGTAGTTATAATGTGGGGCTGAAACTCTATTTTGTGATAAACTGTAGGTGAATTGTGTATTGTAAAATAGTGCATCAGGTTACAGTATATAGAAGGTTGTAGGCCATTGGAATAAGTGATTGGAATAAGGACAGAAAAAGAAAGGGGGGAACAGACTAGTCAGCACTTGGGAATGATGCTCAGTTTTTACAGGTGCTTACTAAAACGGTTTACTTAAGAACTAACTTTTTGATCCACTGAATTAGAAATATCCAGCTCCCACTATACCTTATAAAATACAATTTGCCATTGAGTTTGTGAAACTTTCTTTATATTTAGCATTTTCACTATTGTGACACATTATATGATTGTTTTCTTCTTATGTTCTCCTATTTATTGTTTTTTGTTTCATTTTTGACTTATTTCTTTTTCTTTTATGCATATGAATGTTTTGTCTGCATGTATATATGTTTACCACCTTTGTACAGTGCCTGTAGGGGCCAGATGTCAGATTCCCTGGAACTGAGGAAGATGAAGTTGTTAGCCACCAAGTGGGTGCTGAGAACTGAACCTGACTCCGCTGCAAGAGCAGCCAGTGTTCTTGAGAACTGAGATACCTCTCCAGCTCCTTATTTGTTTTTTTTAATTAATTTGCATTTCATTACAACAGCATTAACCTATTTAATAACATTTTTCTGAGCTAGGGTACATCTCTTTCAAAATTGGCTGTACATTTTTAGGTTTACGCTTATACAATCTTTTACTCATTATAAACTCTATAAGACATAAAATTAAATGAGGTTCCAACGTTTAAAAAAGATCTCCACTTTGTTGTCAAAACACACAGTTTCATCCAGAAAAATTCATTCCAAGGCTCTTGTAATGAAATG